AGCAAGTGTGTACCATCCGCTCTTGCGTAAGCAAATTGCCCTTGCCACAATGGAGACAGAATCTGAAAATAAAGAAACCATCACTCTATTTTGGACCCTTTTCAATGAGGTACTTCAAAAAGTGTCCGGAAATAGTTCAAAAATATTCAATCCTCTTGGATGGTGCACGGATATGGCAGGCGCGAACATGGCAGGTCTAATCAACGTGTTTGGTGAGGACTGCAAACAACGCATAAAATCTTGTGAATTTCACTTCAAAGACCATCGAAACAAAATGTCAAAAAAGTTGGATTCCGAAAGCTCTGAGATATTTAAGTCTATTTGTAACTCGCTTCTAGAAAGTACAACATCCTCTGCTTACGATGAAGCTAAAAGTAAAATGGACGATTTTATAAATGAAAAAAAGGAAAGGGAGTTCTTGACATCCTGGATTTCTTGGTGGAATGACAGGCGTGGTTTTATTTTTCGGGCATTTGCGCCTAAACAAGCTCCTCAAATGAACCAAGCGGAGGTAATACATGCCGGATGGGCTCACAGAGACTTGCCAAATCTTTCCTTGTTGGATGGATGCCAGGCAGACGTCAGGGATGCGGTAACATTAGACGTAGAAATTGAAGCATATGAGCGCGGTACTGCATCTGGAGGGACAGGTCCATCTCACTCTGATCGCCAGCGAAAGAAACATAACGAGCAACTAAAAAGGGCAAAGAAATTAGGTAAAGATATGTTCCCTAAAAATAAGGGTGAGGATGGTCGTAAAATTGATCCAAAGTCAGCACATCGACCTCAGAAAAAATGTTCATCGAAACAGAATAAAGGAAACCGGACAAATGAAACGGTAGAAAAACCAACATCGCCAGCCATAACAGTAACCCGTCCATCCGGAGGGTCTTTTCAACCTGTCCTACCTCAAATTCAGCATAATTTGACTCCCTCAAGTACATCGTGTTCCTCATACTCGACGCAAGTAATCCCAACAACTGGCCGGAGTGCAATTGCTGCAGTGTCAACTGCGCCAATGCTTGGAACTAATCCTTGTTCAGTGCGTTCTGTGGTACCTATGAACTTATCACAACTGTTTCAAGCTAGCGTACCTGGTATGTCGAACCAAACCTTGATGTCAAATACAAATGTTAGTGTCCAGTCTCTTCCATGGCACTCTGGAATGTCACCACATCCGTATGAACTGGTGCCTTTACCATCTAGAGCACAAAAATGCTATGGGTGTGGAAGCGTATTCACGGATGATTATCGTTTGCCTCCTCACAACCTCGTGGTCAGACATGTTGACCGACGCGTGATACGAAGAGATGAGAAAACTCAGCAGCTTGTTTACGGGATGGACTTTGGCAACACATATTACCACCCAGATATCACCCACATAAAACGAAAGAATCCACTTTATTCCGGTCTGGTCCACCTTTCGTCAAACCTGTACAATTCTTTGGACCCTCTGACAAAACACGTGGTAAATTCATACGGGTTGAAAATAACAATGATGTAATTGATAAGCTATTTTCTAACAAAGGATACTCTATTTAATTGTTTAGGCAAATTACCTTCTTTACTTCTACATTGCGCATTGTTGAGTTATGTTAAGCTAAGTCATGGATTTTTTACACGCAAGTATGGATGAACAAAAATAAACAAACTTAAAAACTCTTCATTTACACAATTAGCGTGTTACTAATTTTATTGGTTGTATGTGCTTTCATTTAGTTTCTACAAATGTAAAAACAGCTTGTTTACTGTGTTTACGTTAACTCCCTCTCGAAGGTTAATCCCGGTAGGTCTTATTAATATAAAACAATACAATTTAAAGACTTTAAGATTAACGTTTACGGCAGACTGCAAACGGCGAACTTCAAATCACATGTGATCAGGTAAGTTTTCCAAGTTCTCAACACTTACGTAGCTTATTCATCGGCTAACTTCAATTTTAATGCACAATCTGCTTCGATGCATCTAGGTGTGATACTTTCAATTTTTGGCTGTCATCGCTGCTTTGTCTCGCTCTCTAAAATGTTCAGAATGTTTTCATTCGTTTAATGTTTTACTGGAAGCAATTAAAATTGAAAAAAAAACAATTTAAGAATATTTTTCAAAATTAACAAACTACAACGAACCTTTGGCATTGACTGTTCGATTGCGATTTTTAGAGCAACTGTTTCGTCTTGCTTTTGATATTGTGACATATCCTTGTTCCATTTGACGGCATCTGAATATGAACCAGAAGTGCCTGCATCTGGGTCACATTCTGCGTTAGAATCAACCGAAAATACCGAGCAACAATCTGACGAATCCATCATGTCGTTCGCTTAAAATCCACGAGAGAAGTAAAAGCGTAGTGCTAGTAAAAACCACGCCCTTGTCAATCAACAACAATTACCCAAACTCCAAATTTAGTATCATCAATTTATGTTTTTATTTATTACATAAAGCCCCACTTTTTTAGTTTGGGGGGGGGGGGCAAAATGCCTTTGCCCCCCCCCCCCCCCCC